ATAGCAAAAATAGGACAAGGACGTGGATGGAATCAGCTCAAGAATCTCAACTCAAGTTCATTCCAAGGACCTGTTTCCACTTTGGATGGTGACAATGATTTGAATAGTAATCCAGAATCAGCTGTCAAGGGTTCCTTTGAATCCTTTGAGAAGAAGTCATTTTGCGCCAAAGAATTCAAAAACCTGAGGCACATGAATTACCTACTGCTATTCGGCTTTACAAACTTCCTTTCTTTGATGAAACTTTCCTTGAAATTTCTTCAAACTGGAGGGGAAAAAGTGAAACCTCAAGTCAAGCTTACAGCAAGCAGTACAGCCAAATTTGTTTCAGATTCCTGTGCATGCATGTATAGATCAATCAAATCAGTTACTATGAATAATGGTGCAGAGTTTAAAGAAGACTGTATTGAAGCGGTTAAGAAGATAGGGGCTACCTTGAAATTTACAACACCATATTATCCTGCGGCAAACGGGATGGTTGAACGCAGGCACCGGCCAATTAAAGATGCACTTGTTAAACTGTGCGGAGAATCCGGGGCCAAATGGCGCGAATACCTCCCATTGGTATTATTTTCAGACAGGATTTCTACAAAACGGACGACTGGATTTACACCATATGAGCTAGTTTTCAGACATTTACCAGTATTGCCAGTGGACCTTGAGATGGACACCTATTTAGGGGTTGATTGGTTAGAAATTAAAACTACATCAGAACTTTTTGAAGCACAAACCTTGCAACTAGAAAGGCAAGGCAAACTGCTGAAAGAGGCCCACGAAAAGATGCTCAAATCAAGGGAGGATTCTGTACGGTACTGGGACCGAAAAATGGCAGCACAATTACGAAAACGTCTGGATATGGGAGAATTGGTTTTAGTCTACAACAAAAGTTTGGAAGATCAACGGGGAAATTTATTTGCTAATAGATGGAATGGACCATTTAAAATAAAGAAAAAATTACCTGGAGGATCTTACATTCTTGAGGAACTAGATGGAACTGAACTCAATCAAACTTACGTGGCATCACACATTAAACAATTTTACCCTCGAGGACAACTATTTGACAAGATTTTGGAGGACCAGAAGGATTATAAAAGTGGTAGTGAGGATGATGAGAGTCTAAAAAACTTTGATCATGAAGACACCCATGATAAATCTGAGGATTGGAACTCCAGTCAATGTTGGCTTTCTCCTGGGCACGAGACTAAACTGTTCAACATTTCAAATTCACGTAAATTTTCAACAGTTATTAGCAAAATAAACACAAACCTAAAAAATTATGTAACAAAATACAAAAACAAGAAAATAAAAATAAAAACCAAAATAAAGTAAAATCAGTAGTGTTTCTTTCAAGTTGGGGGAGGAATACTTACCTTTTTCTTGATTGGATTCATGCTGGCGAAAAAAAAAAAAAAAAAAAAAAAAAAAAAAAAACCTGGTTCTTTTTTCAAGTGGGGGGAGAAAATCTCACCCTTGTTTGAAATGGGTTAGTATAAAAAAAAAAAAAAAAAAAAAAAAAAAATCAAAATCAAAATCAAAATCAAAAAAAAAAAAAAAAAAAAAAAAATACACATGAAATCATAAACCATATAAACTTTGTAAAAGCAAATTTCTGAAGTTGGGGGAGGTAACTCTTTCCTCTTGGAAAATTGCTTGGTCTGCTTCTATTTCTTACTTTTGTTCTATCAGTTCAGCAAAAAAAAAAAAAAAAAAAAAAAAAAAACTGTTAGAACTCAAGTCCTTTTTTCATTTTTTTCTAGAGCAGGTCAACCTCAAAACTTTGTATTGAGTTGGTCTGTCTCAAAGGCTCAGATTCACACTCTCATTCTCCTTCTTTAAGGTTGGGGACAACCTTTCTAAGTTGGGGGAGGAGGGTTGGTCTGGTAGAACCAATTGTTTCATTTTTTCTTTCCCAAATCTCAAACCTTCAAGGTTGAGAACAACCTTTTAAGTTGAGGGAGGAGGGCCCTTTTTATAAAGCTATTATTGGCATTATTGTTGTTTCAGACTTTTAGGTTTTTGCAGCTTACATTGATGAGGAGTCAGCAAAAATCAGGATAACATCGGACGGATCGATAATCGACAAAGGCGGTTTTTTTCGGCTTGGATCGATGTAAAATGCTTTAGAATCAGATTGAACGGCACAAGTTTTTTTCGGCTCGTATCGATGCGGACTGCTTAAGAACACCCAGCTATCAAAATGAAAAACGAGCGGCTGGGAACAATCGACAAAACTAGACTCGGTCAAAATCAAATTAGATGGATTGATGGATCCATCAATGCAAAGGATCGGGTTTTTTTTGCTAGTTGTCAATTTGAAACGAACTCGGAAGCAAAAGAAACGAGCTCACCTTGATCTAAAACCGAAATCGCGACCGATCAACCGACCGCGATGGATTCCTTTTGAGGGACAACGGTGTGGCTTCGGAGCAGGACCAGACGGTATGAAGCATCGACTAAAAACAAACCCGATCGACCAAGGGTTTTTTTCGATTGGGAGCCTGATCAGACCTAGATTCAGCTGAGATGAATCAAAAGTCAGAAAACAAAGCCGAAACAAAACGGGCGTGGAAGCAAAAAAACGGACTCACCTGGATCTAGAATAATCACGACAAATCAATCGGCCACGACGGATTGCTTTTGAGGGACAGCCACAGCGGCAGGATCAATCAAAAAACCGGCAAGGGAAAGGGAGGTCAACAAAGACAACCCAGATGCTGCAATAGCGAACAGAGAATATGAAAACAGCTTACCTGATTTAATTCGGGTTGGTTGGGATGAGTCTCTTGTGAGGAAGGTGGCGATGGACTTCGTGTTTAAGACTCGAGTCGGATTGCCGAGCGGAGTTCGTTTACTGGGTTTTTTTTAGGCTGTACAGCGGGGGCTGTGCTCATACACCCAATGGCAGTGTACCCCACAGCCGGGTAAAGTTTAAGGCCAGACAGCCGGTGTTCAGACCGGGTCTAACTAATCCAAGTCCCCCGGGGTTCTCTGAGACCAATCCGAGCCAAAATTCACCTGAAGCCCGCGCTGCACCTACTGCGCACCCCCTGCGACTGGATTCGAGGATTCGAGGATACAACGACACGACGAGGCCCGGACGGCCACACGACGACGCGACTGCGGAATGCGGACTGCGCGCGCAGCAAAAGACCGGACCCCTAAGCAAAAAAATAAAAATAAAAATAAAAAAAACAATCACCCCATAAAGTGAGAAACAACAAAGACCCCCCTGATGACAAAAGTGCAAAAGGGGGGTACACAGGCAGAGTGTGGCCTAGTTTTTGAAAAACTGGGTAAACACAACTCTGAAAATCACTTAGGATAACTGTGAATATTTTTTAAGCTTAAAGGGAATGGATTTAACACTGCAGCGCAGAATGCCCACGACGACGGCCTTTTGGCGGAATTGTTTGGGGACAGACAATAAAGTTGGGGGAGGATGTGGGATACTTTATGGGTTCCCATCCAACAACTTCAAAAATTTTATATTTTCTTGTATATACAATAATATTACACCAAATATGGCTCCAGGAAGGGATTCCAGGGCCAAAATTACCCTAGAGGAGCAGGCTTGGACACATGTAACCCCTCTGTGTTACATGTACACCCCTCTTTCACTCACAGGTAGGGGGGTCAAGCACCCTTACATGTTACAAGGGTATCAGGTACACATGTCACCCCTCCGGGCCATGTGATCTGGCATCTGTACACCTCAAGCAAGTACAATGGAAGTATGCAGGCACAGCATACAGGTTACCTTGGCAACCTTTCATGCGAAGCGTACAGCCTCAAATACAGGATGACATCATGTGGCTTACAAAACACAGCCTGCAGGTTGCTAGGTTGTATAGCAACCGTTGCACAGCTTGTCAATCCGGCGGAAACCACTCAACTTCTCCAATCACATCGTGTAGGCTGTACCACCAGCCAAAACCCCTCATGTATTCTTCCATCTTGGCCAAATTCCCTCATGTAAGGCTGCACAACCAGCCAAAATCCCTCATTCCTGGCTCCCCTGGAGCCAAAATACCTCATTGTTGTCTATATAAGGAGGCCCTTCCTCCCAGTTGTAATTTCTCCTCAGCAGACTTCCTGCAGACATTTCCCCACATAACAGGCAAATCACTGCTCACTCCATAATATTATTTGTTCCCCAATATTTTGGTTTTACAATTATAACAACCCTTACATACAATTATTACAACATCTTTACACATAACAACAACCCATTTTTGCACCTGTCCACCTGTTAAACAACAGAGTATCTTTTGATACACTCCACTATCACTAATTAAAAGCTGCCAATCTAAGATTGGTGGTCTTGTTTAGTGTAGTACACAGGAAAGGCAGAGGTTACCTCACACATCCCTTTCCGAACTCAGCAAAAGGTTCTCACGAACACTTTTGAGCTTAACAACGCTCTGCACTCAGAACGATATCCCATGCAACATGATAGAAAAAACTAGATGGCTAGGTCAACCTCAAAAGAACGGCAAGAAACATGGCACACTGTTAATAAATGTAAAGGACAAACAACTTGCCATAGACATCGAACATGGTTGTTTAATCATCGATGGTATTCCGCTCAAGGCATCCAAATACACCCCCGGCCCTCCTCAATGCTTCAATTGCCTAGAATTCGGACATCCAGCTTACTTCTGCAAGACACCCCCACTTTGTGCCAGATGCGGAGGTAAACACAACTCCAAAGACTGCCACATTGACAACCCAAGTGGCGCTTGTTTTCGATGTATCAAAGCAGCCCAATCAAATAAAACCTTCACTAGTTTGACCGATACAAAGTACAATCACTCACCCTTTAGTATTTCATGCCCCATTAAAAAGTCCGAAGTTGATAAACACACAAAAGTTGCTTGATTCTGCCCATTAATTATTTATTTCACATTTTAGATTCCTACAAATTTTTACATTTTCTTTTCTTCTTTTCTTCTCTCTCCTATCCAACTTTACAAGAACACTTACTCTCTCACAGTTGATAGCTGAAAATACTTTTTAGACCTATGGGGTGAATTTCTATTAGATAACTATAGCAGATGGTGTTGGATTGAATAGACTTGTATTAGGTTTCATTAGATTATAGTGTGACATGTGAAATCCATAACACTTAAAAAAAAAAACAAAAAAAACAAAAAAAAAGAGTGAGCTGGGTTTTGGTGCTCTTTTCGTAATCATAGATCCCTTCATACACACACCCGGGCGAGCCCGGCGCCACCTCGGCGTAGCCCGGGACGCCATGGCTGCCGTGCAGGGTGAAGACGCCTCCAAGGCGCTGTTCTGCCACACATCGCGGAGGCGGTCGTCCCCTGTTGCGAGTGCGACAGACACAACGGGCGAAATTTTCAGGGCTCTCCAATTCCATCATCCGATCCTCACGATCCCCATCAATTTGGTACACATTTCCGCCCGGATATATGTCTGCTTTGCCACAAATTGCAATTATGTGTGCCTTGACTGGAAAGCTGGATCAAAAATCCCTTCCAATCAGGCGGAGAGGAGACGTCTTTGATTGTAGAACAAGGGTTCTGAACCAAGATGGATCGCAGGTTGATGGTGAGAAGTCTTTTCGATACTTATTTTTATTTATTTCAATCGTTCATCCATCGATAGTTGATCAAACGATGATACTGAGCTGCTGCAGATGGTGCGTTGGTATTGAATTGGTTGAGTTGATGGGATCGGGTTGTGGCTTGGAGGTGTTGCTGGGGAAACCGAAAATGCATGTGCGGGCTTACATAAGCCGGATGTGCATCTCGACGCGAACTGATCCTGCTCTCACTCGACGCGTATCGGGTGTTTCAGTTTGGGCCAAGACTACTTTGCATTGAGCTGGTGTGTGTGTGTGTTGAGTCTCTTTTGCCATCGCCCGTCACTTGACTCGAACGCTTTTGCATTCCTCAACTCCTCTCCTGCAACTGCTTTCTCCATCCTCCAAATATCCGCATTACATTGTCTCGCGTCCGAATTCTCAAAAGCAAGACGTAGTACTCTATCTCTCAAGCTTCATATCCAACTTCTGTCTTGGTCCCATTCGTTCGTACTTTATTTTACACTTGGATTGCTAGATTTCTTGATTATTCTATCAGCTCTCTCTCTCTCTCGATA